TGAATAAGTATTTAAAATATAGACAAATAAAATTTACGTGGAAGAACGTTAATGATAATTAGGAAATGTAGAAAATTTTTAAAAAGAATAAAAACAAAAGGAGAAAATGTCTTATTCTAGTAAAAAAAATTATCTTCCGAATATGTATTTTAAGAAAAAGATATATGGATCGACATTGTGTGCCATTATTTTCATAGATATGAAAAGTTCAAAATTATTTTCAGGATGTTTCTTTTGCCATTTTGCTTCTAAGTGTCTGACAAAAAAAAGAAAGATGAGAAAACTGCCTATCGAATGGCAAAAAAAGATAAGGGGCAACATTTGATGACATTAATTTGGCATCGTTTGTATACATACATTCTCTATAGAAATAGACATTATTCTTTGTATTTCTTTATATAGTATAGATATATCCTTATATCTAAGATGCCAAATAAAATGTTCTTACGAAAATGTTATACATTTAAATTATATTTTTCAGATTGAATTATGAATAAATTATATCTTGCTATTAGTATTATATACTTCATTGGTTTCAATGGTAAATGTATTTAATATAGATCGTTTGTTTGTTTTTTCGTTGTATTCTAATATTTGTTTATGTTTAAGATGGAGCGAGTCCACCAAAACATCAAAGAAATTTTATGTTAACTGGTCGTGTTACATTGCCTGGAGGTTCACCTACACCAATCGAATCAGGTGGAACCTTAACAGCTGAATTACAAGACATATCATTACCTGATAGGCCAGCAAGAGTAGTTGCAAAAGGAACAAGTAAAGTTATTCGATTTCCAGTGGTATTTGGAATAAGTTATTCATCAAGTCAAATTGTTGATGGACATACATATGCATTGAAAGCCAATATTAGAAATAAGCGTGGGGAATTATTATATACCAATGAAGTTCCTCTTCAAGTAACATCACTTAATGTTGATCTAGACTACCGCATTGAAGTACCTGTTAGACTTGTCAAAGGTAAGAGGACAAAAAAAATGTTCTTTTTCAATATTTTCTACTTTTAAGGCAAAGCAAATCCTTCAACAAGTGGAAACTTTGTCTTAACTGGTCGAGTTACATTTTCTGAAGGTTCACCTACACCAATAGAATCAGATGGAACATTAACAGTTGAATTGCAAGATATATCATTATCTGATAGGCCAGCAAGAGTAGTTGCAACAGGAACAAGTAAAGTCATTCAATTTCCAGTAGTATTTGGAATAAGTTATTCATCAAGTCAAGTTGTTGATGGACATACATATGCATTATAGGCCAATATTAGAAATAAGCGCGGAGAATTATTATATACCAATGATATTCCTCTTAGAGTAACATTACTTAATATTGATCTAAGGGATCGTATTGAAGTACCTGTTAGACTTGTCAAAGGTAAGAAGAGAAAAAAAAAGGTTATTTTTCAAAAATTTTTCTATTTTTAAGGCAGAGCAAATCCTTCAACAAGTGGAAGACACTTTATCTTAACTGGTCGCGTTACGTTTCCTGAAGGTTCACCAACACCAATTGAATCAGATGGAACATTAACAGTTGAATTACAAGATATATCATTACCTGATAGGCCACCAAAAGTAGTTGCAACGGGAACAAGTAAAGTCATTCAATTTCCAGTGGTATTTGGAATAGGCTATTCATCCAATCAAATTGTTGATAAACATACATATGCATTAAAGGCCAATATTAGAAATGAAAATGGTGAATTATTATACACCAATGAAGTTCCTCTTCGAGTAACATCACTTAATGTTGATCTAGACTACCGCATTGAAGTACCTGTCAGACTTGCAGAAAGTAAGGACAAAAAAAAATTGTTCTGTGAAATTTTTATCGGTACTTTTAGAAACAACACCAGTGCCTGAAAAAAGTGAATGGCCTGAATTGGTTGGTAGAAATGGCCAAGAAGCAATTCGAATTATTAAAAAGCAAACAGGTAATATTCTTATATTGAAAACATGTTGAAATTTTCTTTTATAATTGAAAATAGGTTTTAAAGACGTAATAACAGTCAAAGAAGGATCAGTGATGACAACAGATTATCGTACGAATCGTGTACGTATTTTTGTCGATAAGCGAGGTATTGTGACAAGAGTTCCAACTGTTGGTTAATTAATATGTTTGCAAACAAAACAAGAAATAATAATGTAATACACGTTTTTCTTAAATAGTTTTATATAAATGTTCTGTCTCTTTTATTATAAGATCTATGATAGTTACATGAAATTTTGCGTTAAATTACTAATAAATTAGAGTCGTGGATATAAGTCCCATAATTAGACAAAAACTATTCAGATAGTGTGATCTCAAACTCGAGAAGTGATCTAAAGATGTTCAACGTCTCATTGAATAGCTTGACTATTGCTCTCTTCTTGATAGATATTTCATTTAAAAAAACGAGATCCTTTCATTAAGTTATGAGTCAACTTCGATCGGTATATTGACATGACAACTCTTATATAAAACTTCAAAACGGGATTATTTCCCATTTGAAAAAACAATGTTTTAGATGTTTTTCGTTCTTGTGTTAGAAAAAAAAACTCATGCTTTGGAAAAAGAATTTGAAAGATAGATAGTAACAAAATATTGTTTTTGAGATAAGCAATAATCTCATTTTGAAGTTTGATATAATTCAATTAATTTCGCTCAAGTTAAAAATATAAAACAAAATTTTAACAAGTTAAATTTTTTTTCAATTTGATGAAATCTAAACAATATTTTTAGTAAAATAGATAGTTCTCTTGTTGGTTCTACTCGCACTATAAAATGCAGTTCGGCCTGCTCTAGTTGTAAGACTATGGAGAAGTGCTGATCTTGATATATAGACTGGTGTGAAACTCTTCTTTTTTCTTAATAGTTATAATTCTCAAAGCTACGAAATAAAGCGAGACTAGTATAACATTCTGAGTTGCAATGCTCAAGGCAAACGATTGAACTTAGCCCGATATGTGGGTTAAATACCGGACGATTTAGAAGTTTTCCGGTATCTGTATATCGATGGAGATTGACTCATAACTTGATGAAATATCTATCAATAAGAAAGCAAGAGCCAAGCTTTTCAATCAGGTTTTGAACATCTTAAGATCTGTTTTCTGGCTTGAGATCATACAATCTCAAAAATTCCTTATTATTGACCTTCAATCTGAGTTTTACGAAGAGAATAGAGCTCG